GTTTTCGATACCTTCATTGATAACCTCACGGCGACGACGTTCAACTGAAAAGCACCGACGTTAGTCATCTAGTTTGGGCAACGCAGGTTTCGAGCGCATCATACCTTCCTTGTGGTTGTCCTTGCGCAACTGGTGCCACTCTGCACTTCCCACCGCTGGCTTGGGTGGATTGTTGTTGTTGTTCGTGCCCCCACGAGCCTCAACAAGAGCTTGAGCAGAACTAATCCCATGAACGGGAGGGCTGCCGTCATCAAAGGTAAATGGGAGGCCCGCGCTGCTATCATTTGGGTTGGGTTCGGGATAAGCAGATGAGTTCATGCCGGGGGCTGCAAGAGCAGCTTGGGCAGTTCGAGCGTTATCGTCCGCGAGCATTCCCTCACTCTGCAAAAGCAGGCCAAAGGTGGCAGCATCATGCTCGCCGTTTGTGATAGGCACCTTGGCGTCACGTCCGACGTCCTGGTCAGCCAATCCACGTTTACGCTTGTTGGTGGTATTGCCAGTGGCGGAGATTGCAGGTTGATTGGCCATGACAGAGAGGTTGATTGCAGAATATGCGTGCAGAGGACCAAAAGCCGGTGTTTATAAATATTGAAATCCAGGCACAGGCCCGAATCACCTCGTCTGGCTGGCAATGCAAGTGCAGCAAGGCGAAGTTCAGGTAGGCGGCGAGGTGGGCGAGCGAGAGGGGACCCGGTCAACTATGATCGCAAGGTTAGCCATGGTCAACCAACTCTCCGTGTGCCTGCAAGGGTGAAAAAGAGGGTCAAGACAAGGCGGGAAGAGGGAGTGAATAAAAGAGAGGGTGTATTGCGACGACTTGTCACATGAGCATTGCATGAGGACGCAGTCAGTTGGGAGCGCGCGTTTGGGTCAGTTGTCTCAGTCGCATCAAGCTTCGAGTTGCTCTCAGTGTCGGCGGCACCGAGCAAACAGGACTGAATGCGCGCGCCGACTTCATCTTGACGCGTTTGGACTTGGACCATCAGAAGAGTGAGATGAAGCGCGCTGCGGGTGTGGACTTCTTTGTAGCCTGGTCCAGAACGACATCATGATGAAGCTGCGCCAACCCGCAGATAGGGAAGCGGGACTGGGTGTTGAAGGAGATCAGGTGCCATCAGGTGACTTGAAGTTGAACTCACCAGTGCAGTGCAGAAATCACAGTCGCAAGACAGTGAACCAGGTTATTTTTGGACGCGAATTTGATTTTCACAAAGAGACGACACGGGCGCTGGGGCGCGATGGGTTGCGAAGAGTTGAAGAGGTGTGGTTGAGGCAGTAGGTCTGGAATCACAGCATTTCAGGTTCAGATACTCGAGTCTCTATGAGGGAAACAACGACAAGCGACGAAGCGGCGGGCGTCACGGGGGGAGAAGATGCAGTTCATGTGACTCGCTTCCCACTAAGTGGCTAGAAATGCGCTTGTCCCAAAATCGCTTAGAGCAATCAAAAGGTCCACCGGTGGCTTGGCGCTTGGCTCCCGGAAAAGCAAATGGCAGGCAAATGGCATGTGACAGATGCCAAACCTGCATAACTTCATCATCACTGAGAACAATCACGACAATGCTTGTTCTTCCTCTTCCCGTCTGACTGTATCTCGTGATCGGCTGTCTGACCCTCCATCATCCGTTTACTTGCAGAAAGTGCGGTGGTCATAGAACATGAGTCGTGCCGGTCCTCCCAAATCTCTCAACACCGTGTCTTTCGCCTGCCCCCAGCCGGACAATCCGTCCATGCTGGTCAGAGATCTCGAGCTGAGCCTTTTGGACTTTCGATATCTTTGGCCTTGTACTGTACCTGCACTTATACCTGCACGGCACTGGTAAGGCATCGAATACCTCATCTTCGTGTCTTATTTCGGACCCTTCCGGATGTATCCGCGAAGGAAACCACTGAATACCAGGAACACATCTCCCATACAATCGTCAACATTAGAGGTCGTTATTTGTCCAGTCGTGTCGGGAGTCGTTCTGACTTTCATCCCTTTTGTACTTCGGTATCATCACCAACACCGTCTTCTGGTGGTTCGGTGACTTGTTTGAGAGAGACAGAGAAGGCTGGGGCGCTGTCCGTGTCCACCATAAGTATGCCTTCCTGAGCACGGCCGAGAATGTCCCAAATCCTGACTTGCCCATCCTTGGACATGCCCATCACACAGCTGCTGCCCGCATACCGGACCTCTCCAATGCGCGGACTGGTGCCTTCTTCGCCAGCCCTGTTCGCGCAGACAACAAAGGCTTCGGACTGTGCACCTTGTGGCCCAAATAGGGGAGTGAGCCTGTCGATCCAGTAGTTGATGGTGTCCTGGTCTGGAACCATCACCTGACTCGACAACTCCTCGTCATTCAGCCTTGTTATCCAAGCCATGCTTATGACAACCACCTTTGCACGAGCCTCGCGCGCGTGATTGCCAAATTCATACGCCGTCCACGGAGCTTCGAATCGATACGGGTTAATGTCCATGCAGATTCCAGCCGCCGCCTTGACCTGCTGACCCTTACCGCCGACGGGCAAAACACCCGCCCAGAAGCCCTGGCCCTCTTGGGCCCATGTCTCGTCCGTGTAGTAGAGGAAGGATTTGCGGTAGTGGGCAACAACGTCCCCTGTAGAGCTGACAAAAACTAGCGAGTTGTAGGCGATCTTGCCTGTTTCTTCAGCGGTGATGCGCCGGTCATAGATGGTGTTGTAGTTGCCTTCCTCGGCGGCCTCCGGATATCCCACTGCCACTGTACACTTCAGCCGTTTGGCAGTGCGGGCCGCCCATCGGGTCGAAGGTCCTGCCGCCGTTGGCTCGAGAAATGGTGCTATGGCATCCAAAGATGGGTGATTGTACCCTGCAACCACAAATTAGCCCCCAACGGCGCAGGCTGTGCAGAACCACAACGCCGTTCCCTTTCCCCTTCCGCGCAGACTAATGACCCTCTCCTGCCAGCCTCATTCTTTGGAACAGGCGCATTTGCGAGTAGTGCTCGTGAGTGACTCACCGGTGAACGCAAGTTCGGGAAGAACCAGTAAATCAATGTCCTTCAAAAGACCCTCCCTCTCCTCTCTCATCAGGAGGCTCTCCGCACGGCTGAAATTGGCAGCGACCTCCCCAAGCCGGGGAGAGAATTGGAGAGTTGCGATTTTCATGGTAGGAATGGCCACGACGACATCTCGATCAAAGTGTTCGAGGAATGAGGGGCCGCCAGGACGGAGGAGATGTTCTGGCCCCGAGGGTGAACACCTTACAAGGACTCAGAGCAGTTTCTTCCAGCCCCTGACAATACTGACGATAGGGGACTTTGATATGAATGAATGTAAGAGGGATTCTCGATGCTTTATCAAAAGTAAATTCGGCGATGGTGGTGGATAAATCAGAAGCCGAGCAGAATTGCGGTGCCGGTGGCTACGGTGGAGCAAGAGAAAGACTGGTATATCATTATTTCCGCGTACTAGCAACTAACAACAGATGGTAAAGTGGCAAGTACAGCAAGAGCGAGACTTTACGTGGTCAATGATCATTACTCATTATGCGAAACAAACCACAGAGTAAAATCATGATGATCTGCTACACAGTATGTGCGGTAGACCCGCTGTTATACACAAGTAGGCACCACCCTCGTGGTGCCATGAGAAACCCTTCAAGCAGCCTTCGAACCCTCCTCTTCTTCAGTGCCATTCTCTTTCTTCTGCCTCTCTCGTTCTCGTTTCCTTTCTAATAACCGGTTCAACTTCTTGGCCACATTGAAGACACCTCCGGTTCCTGAACCGCAGGCGGCACACGAAGGGTCTTTTCGGTATCGTTTCAGAGCACATGCCTCACAGAAGTAGTGGCCGCATTTCGTGACAATCGGGGCTGTATATGGTTTTTTGCAGATAATGCAGGCAAATGGGATGCTCTCAAGCAGCTTTTCGTCGTCTTCATCCTCCTCCGTTTGCTGAGCACTCCTGTTTGCAGATGCCACAGTTTTCGCGCCAGGATTCTTTCCTTTAGTACTGATTTCCCAATCCCGATCTAGCTGCCATCCCTGCTTGTAGTCCTCTCGTGCGTGAAGGAATTTACAGTTATCCCCGAAACCACAAAATCCAGTTTGCTTGTAATCCTTACAGACATCAGGAGCAAAGTCTGTAACAGTAATCGTCCTCACATTGCTCGAAGTTTTGACGGGTCCGACCTGTTTCGAAGCACGGTCGGGATTCTTCTGTATGAAAGTTTGATAGTTTGCCACGCCTTTGTATGTTCCATCCGCAGTTTCTATGTCTGTTTTCTTGGAGGAGGGGTTTCCGGGCTTTTTGACGCCATCCTCGTCGTACCAATTCGACGCTTTGGTAGCGTCATCCTTGTTTGTTGCAGCGACCACTGGTGCGGCCGAGATTTCTTCGGTTGGCTTCTCGCGAGGTTGATCGGCCTTTGATGATGCAGTGACCCCAATATGCTTGCGTCTTCGCTTGACTTGTCTCCCCTCCTCGTCTTCGAAAGAGGAAAATCCCGAATCTGATTCATCGTCCGGGGGAGGAGTGGCGGCCCGCTTTCGAATCGTGGACTTGAGTTTTGGATTTCTTTTTTTGAACGTAACTTGTGGTGCCTCAGCTGCAACCTGCGGGTCCTCCATTTCTGGGGTATGGAGAGTGGAATCGAGGATGAGGGTAAGAAGCGTGACACCCTTTCTCTGAGATATAAGTGCGAGAGAAATCGAGACTTCTCGAACCGGCGCAAGCAAAATCGCAGGCAAGGGTATCTCAGATGTTGCTTGCATAAGCCAAGCAATTGATCGACTGCGCTAAACCTTAATATTTCTCGCCACAGCTCCCTTGTATGGACGAGCTCAATTTCTCCAAATGCAACTCCAAACTGTTCACAGCTGCGGCGCCTTTTTAACCTGCAACCCAAGACACCAGACTAGTATGCGGTAGATTTAACCCCTGACACTCTTGTTCTCTTCTATCATGTTGTTCAAACCCATGTTACCTTGAAGTTACATGTTCCCTTTTTGGGTGGCCTGTCGTCCCACAATCAGGCCATGGTAGACCATGCATCCCCGGGTCGGCAAGCTGGGACTTCTGGAGATGGCTCTCCGAGCCCGAGTCCGACCGCAGAGGAACGTAACCGACGCAAGATAGTCAGCTTCAAGGTCACCCATGTGCTACTTACTCTCTTTATTCTATGGTTGATGTGAGTTGGGCAGAACATGCGTCGCGCCAACGTTCAAGCCAGAAACTGACCGAGACAGGATTGTACATATTGTTGGCATTCTGTTCTTTGCTAAAGGCTTTCTACTCACCAGGCTGGTGTTGGACAACAAATCTGAATGTGGAATACTTCCATCTGACAGACCTTCGCGAATCACCGACGGATGCTGGCATCCCAAGTCGTTCGATCGAGCTGTCGTCATAATAATTGATGCTTTACGATATGACTTCACCATTCCCTCTCATCGTTTCTATACAGAACCCCAGAAAAAGTTTTACTTAGACAATCTGCGCATTCTTCACCAGAGCGCTGCATCGAACCCTTCGAATGCAGTCCTACTGCCATTTATCGCGGATCCTCCTACTAGCACCCTTCAACGTCTGAAGGGTCTGACCACCGGCACACTTCCTACATTTATCGATATTGGTTCAAATTTTGCTGGAACAGCTATCGAGGAGGATAACATCATCTCTCAGCTGAAGGATGCCGGGAAGACGATTGTACAACTGGGAGATGATACGTGGCATTCTCTCTTTCCTGGATATTTCGATCCGAATATGACACGACCATATGATTCTTTCAATGTGTGGGATCTGCATACTGTGGATAATGGGGTCATCGAGCATATCATGCCTTTGCTTGACCAGTCACCGGTACAATGGGACGTCATTTTCGGTCATTTCCTCGGGGTCGATCACGCAGGCCACCGGTACGGTCCTGACCACCCTGCGATGGCCGAAAAGCTCCGCCAAATGGATGATGTTATTCGGCAAATAATGGAGAAGATTGATGATGGAACTTTGCTCGTGGTTATGGGCGACCATGGCATGGACACCAAAGGGGACCATGGCGGAGAGTCTGATGACGAGATTGAAGCAGCACTTTGGATGTATTCGAAGAAGCCTCGCTTCGGACGGATCGATGCAGCCAACATCTTGCCTCCGGCCACGGCGAAGGAGCGTCCAGTCGGTCAAATTGATCTGGTGTCGACTCTATCAATCCTACTTGGGCTACCCATCCCCTTCAACAACCTCGGCAGACCAATTGCTGAAGCATTTGCTGGGCCCGGGACGACGGACTGGGAAAATCTTGCCAAAGTAGAGCAATTGGCCCAGAGTCAGATCTCAAGATATCAAAGATATTACACACGTTCGCGGGACCTCGGTCTGCCCCAAGAAGCATATACGAAGCAAAACCAATATGTGGTCGATTCAACAGAGGCTAGAGCGCTCAGCAAGTGGAAAGATGCACATCACGCCCTCGTCAACTGGCACCAGGAGGTGATATCCATGTACAGGCAACTGTGGGCCAATTTCAACTTGACGGATATGTTAGTCGGGGTGCTTGTATCCGGCCTCGGGTTAGGGTTCTTATTCCTGTTTTCCTGCTTCTTGAAGGGGGACAAAGCTGGACTGGCTGTGCCTCTGGTCAGATCCGTCGGCTTCGGGTCGGCAACAGGCGCTGCAGTCGGTGGTCTATCTGGATTTTTCTTGCCTGCACCTTTCACGGTGGTGAGTGGTTTGATATTTGGTGCTACTGTTGGTGGCATCCTTGCTGCTGGCATCTGGTCAAGTCGACACCTTTTCGCTCCAAAGTCGTATCTACCATCCACCTGGGGATGTCTGGCCTTCGTTTTCTGTGTGGCCCAATCCGCTGGATTCGCGTCAAACTCCTACACCATCCATGAAGACACAATCCTCCTCTTTTTCCTGAGTACATTCGGAATTGTGTCTCTGATCTCATCAATGCGACAAGCGTCTAAACCTGATCGAGTCTTGGGCACATACCAGTCGGTGGTTTTCATACTCCTTACTCGAGCCGCATCGTTTTCACGGCTTTGTCGAGAAGAGCAGATGCCCGGCTGTCGCTCGAGCTTTTATGCATCTACGAACTCGTCAACATCAGCCCCTTGGCAGCTTCTGATCCCTTATACCGTGGCTCTGATCATTCCGGAAATCATCAAGGCGTTCTACAAAGGCACCGCATCATATGCTGGGTCGGCCGGCTTTTGGATTGGATTCAGTGTCCGTATGGGCTTGTTGTTTGTTGCTGCCTACTGGACGGTAGATGCCGCAGATAACGGAAACTGGTTGCTGGACCGAGTCTCATCAACCACGCTCAAGACAGTCAACATCACTTTGGCCAGGTGTGCCCTTGCAATCGCAATTCCTGTGGGGATAGGGACTTTTATATGGGCGAAACCGTGTATCGACATCTCGATAACCGAACCGACGAGTGCCACTGACGAATCTGGCGCCCGCGGGCCCCCCCAGTTAACGGTCTTTGGTTATGCAAACGTCTTCGGCAGCCGTTACTTCATCATGCTTCCCATCCTTGTCCTTGCCGTGTCATTGCTCCTACCGCCCATGGGCCAATATTCAATCGCTATCCTCACCTGGCAGATTCTCTGCCTGCTTGAGATACTGGATACCAACGGGCTCACAATCACCTCTGCCTCCCAACCCAGAATTGGACCGATCATGCTCGCCATCCTCGGGTCCTACCATTTCTTCAAGACCGGCCACCAGGCCACCTTGGCTTCTATTCAGTGGAACTCGGCCTTTGTCCCGCTACGCACGATTCAATATCCTTGGTCGCCACTCCTCGTTCTGCTGAACACCTTTGGAGCTCAGATAATTTGCGCAGCGGCGGTGCCATTGACGGTGCTGTGGAAGAGGCCCATCGACAAAGCGGGCGTTCGTGGGCTATGGAACGATGTGCTGGGGGCTTGTCTCACGCATGCTCTGTACTATGCGACGATTCAGGTGGCGACGACAATGTGGGCAGGGCATCTGCGACGGCATTTGATGTTATATCGAGTCTTCATGCCACGATATCTCATGGCCAATGGGGTGTTGCTCATTGTGGATCTGGTGCTGGCCTTGGTTGCCTTGGCCAGCGTGCGGGTTGTCGGGCTCAGTGTGGGTGAGGTATTCGGCCTTTGAGTTCTGTGGACTAATTGGCCTCGCGTAAGATCTACAAGAGCCAAGAGAAAGAGGCACTAGTGGTCGATGAATAGCTTCGCCCATCTAAGGTCCTCGATTAGTCAAATTGCTCTGTATCTGGCAAGTGTGCAAACCTCTAGACGCAGGGCATAGCTTACGGCAGCATGCCATTGACCTCGACGAAGCCGTGGTTAGTCATGCGATACACGGAAGGAGAAAGGCGAAAGCTGAGTCATGCAAGAGGATGTATCATTCCTCTCGACGCATCTGTTGGCAGTTGGTCCAACACGCTGGATTTCCGAAAGCGAAGAATGGGGCGCAGGTAAAACCGCCGAATCTTTGTGCGAGACGGCGCTGCCGTTACGTCATCCGCCCATCCCGGCACCAGCAAAGACTCTCCAATTGACCGAGCAGTTCCAGATGCTCCAGAGGCATTCGCCGTATATTAACCAGCTGCGGTTACAGTCACTGCTCGAAATTTTCATTGTTGCATTCCTCTTCTTCCTCTGATTCTTGTGAGAGACTTTTTCAGATCTTGCTCACCACCCGCCCCTACAGTTCTTCTCACAACCATTGTCCGACACAACCTCTGCCATCCTCTTACATACCCCGCATCCATTGAGAGACCACCCCTCCATCCGCCAAAATGCCTATCTCGGTGCCCGCCACTACCTCTCTCCACGACCTCTTCAGCCTCAAGGGCAAGGTCGTCATCGTCACCGGAGCCTCCGGACCCACTGGAATTGGGACTGAGGCTGCCCGGGGATGTGCTGAAATGGGTGCCGACGTGGCCATCACATATTCGTCTCGTCCTCAGGGAGGTGAGAAGAACGCCAAAGAGCTCTCGGAGAAATTTGGAGTCAAGTCCAAGGCGTACAAGTGCAATGTCGGCAGCTACGAAGAGGTGGAGAAGCTGGTCCAAGATGTCATCAAAGACTTTGGCAAAGTCGACGTCTTTATTGCCAACGCCGGTCGAACTGCCGACAGCGGTATCCTCGATGCCCCTGTTGAGAAGTGGAACGAGGTCATCCAGACGGACTTGAACGGTGTCTACCACTGTGCACGAGCCGTTGGCCTGCATTTCCGGGAGCGCAAGACCGGCAGCTTCATCATCACGGCATCCATGTCGGGTCACATTGCCAACTTTCCCCAAGAACAGGTCAGTCTTATCCGATATTCTACTGCTTATGAGATGAGAGGGCGTGCTAATCATACAAATAGACCTCTTACAATGTTGCCAAAGCCGGCTGCATCCACATGGCACGATCTCTGGCCAACGAATGGCGAGACTTTGCCCGTGTGAATTCGATTTCGCCCGGTTACATCGACACCGGTCTCTCGGACTTTGTTCCTCAGGATATTCAACAGTTGTGGCACAGCATGATCCCCATGGGCCGTGACGGCAAGGCGACGGAACTCAAGGGTGCTTATGTCTATCTTGCCAGCGATGCGAGCTCCTACACGACCGGCACTGACATCATCATTGACGGTGGCTACTGTGCCCGATAAATGCAATCGGTGTGAAACAAGCGGAGAGCTTGGCGCGATAAGCATCATTGACGCATTGGAAATATGCAACATGAGATATCAGCTTCGGCCAAGCCGGCTACGAGCTGAGTCGTGGTCGGAAGTTGCAGGGAGAGATATCGACGTATGTCATGCAAGGCTGAGCTGAAACAGTCTTATTGACGGGGGCCGATCCATCTATATACAACGCCATCTGGACTGACTCTCGAGATGGAACTACTAGTTGGTATGAATTAAGCCAAAAAGCCGATTGTGCACCCTGCATCCTGCGTCCTGCGTCCTGCATCCTGTAACACGGGTGCTTTCGTTCTGCCTGTCTTTTCTGTATTCTTTTCCTCGTCGGTTCCTTCGTTCCAGTCTCGTTTTGCAGCTGTAGCGACATCGCCGGATACCGGGAACCAGATCCAGTTCCACAACCAGAACTCAAGCCGCTTTCTTTGCTTCTTGCTTCTTGCTTCTTGGCCCTCCGGAGTCCAGATACATATTTTCCTCTCTTCGCTTTTCTATTCTTCGGTCACCGAACCCCTTTGCAAAGCGTGAACAGAGACTGCACATGACACAAGACACAAGACACTGAGAATCCCTGGCATACCATCCATTATTCAAACGTTACTTGCGAGGAGAAGAGTGGGTGGTGTGGTGTGATTCTCATGCGAACAGGTGAACCGGGAGATCGGCGTGGGTCCAAGACTCCAAATCGAACCTTTGACTTTTCTTTCATTCTTTTTCTAATTGATTGATTGATTCATTGGTGCCTCGGGTGCCTCGTTTGCCCATGTACTTTAACAAGGTGTCTGTCTGTGTCTGTATGAATTTGTAACTGTAATTTGTACCCTCGTAGCCCGGCCCGAGATTTTTGTGTTGAGAGAGTCTCAACATTTGGAATGGTGACTAGGCAGGCGTTGTAGAGGCGGTGTACATAACAACAATGTCACCCTCAGATAAACCCCTCTAGCAGGACCTTTGTTACACCCTTCTGTGATCGTTCACCTCCTCTTCCGCAAGGACAACCTCCCACTCATGCCGTTACTCGGCCGCGCGGCCCCGAGCAGGACCTGGAACGGCTTGTGGCCCTCGACGCTGAGGCGCTCGTCGCCGCTGACGCCGTCTGCGAACTCGTCCTTGGTCTCCACGGGCACCCAGTCGCCCTGCTCGATCTTCTCGCCGCGAAACTCGGCCGTGAAGTCCACCTCGCGGACCACGAGGGCGACGACGACCTTGGCCTCCATCATGGCGAGTTCCTGGCCGATGCAGCTGCGGGGGCCCTTCTCGAAGGGTCGCCACGCGTCCTTGCCCGCCGGCGTGTGCAGTTTACATTCGGGAAACGGCGTCTGCGAGGGGATGAAGCGCTCCGGGATGAATTTCAGGGGTTCCGGAAAGTACGCCTCGTTCCGGTGGATCATGTGCGCCACGGGCCACAGGTCGAATCCGACGAGGGGGCATTCCGTGCCCGTTGACGGGTCGATCAGCACTTTGTCCCGCGCCGCCGACACGTCGCTGGGCCGTTTCAGTTCGCGGATCGTCGACGCCGGCGGGAACAGACGGAGCACCTCCTTCACCACCGCGGCCAGGTACTCCAGCTTGTTGATGCGGTGCGGGTCTGACTTGATGAGCTCGGCCATTTCAGCCGCCGTGACGTCGGGTCCAAAGACCGAGTCGAGTTCCGCGACGATTTTGGTGTGGACGTGCTTGTGGAGGTGGAGCAGGTACATGGTGTAGGAGATGGTCGAGCTGGTGGTGTCGTGGCCCGCGAAGATGAACGTCTTGATGCTGTCGATGGCCATTGCGCGGAACGAGCGATTCATCCCGCCGCCACCACCACCACCACCTCCTCCTTTCGCACTGGCCGCGACCTCCTTCTCGTAGGCGTCCAGGGCCAGGTCCACGATGGAGCGTTTCCGGTCTTTTCTTGGCTTCTCTGTATCTGAGGAGATATTGGTGCCGGTCTTCCTCGCCTCAATCTTCTTGTCAATCTCGGCCCCGAGCAGCGAGTCGAGTTTCCTGGCATTCCACCACAGACGGATCGGACGAACGAGGTTGATGTCGTCCAGCGGGCCAATGCTGGCGGCACTCGGCATCAGCTCCACCTGCTTCCTGAACGTCGTGACGATCGGGTGCGGCCGTTTCTGACTGTCAAAGTCCGAGTCCATGACCACTTTGCCGATGATGTCAATGGCAAATCCTATCGACAAGGGGTCCAGTTGGACGAGCTCGTTCGTTTGCGCCTTTTCCAGGAGCAGATCAAGGAACACGAGGCTGGAGTCGACCACGTACGGAACCAATGTGAACAGGTGACTCGCGGAGAAGCCGGGGTTGAAGATGGATCTTAGCGATTTCCAGGCGTGGCCCTCCAAGCCAACCATGTTGTTTTCTCCCAAGAGGTTGGTCAGAAATTTGGTCGTGAGCTGCGATTTTGGCAGCGATTGACCTGTTGTCAGGAACTTGGAAGCGACTTCAGGGTCGGCAACGAATAACCAGCGGGGACCAAACGGCCACCAATCGAGATAGAAGACGTCTGTGAATTGACGGTAATTCAGTATCTGGACAGAGACAAGTACAAATCCAAACCAACAACACCTGACAGAGAGCCAGATCACTAAACGCAAAGATGTGCTGGCGATATACTTACCGCCCAGATCATATTTCTTCCTGATATAGTTGGCCCAGTTCTGGACATGACAGTTGGGTGGGAAGAGTCTCTTGCAGTCTGCCGCAATCTTCAAGTGACCCCAGAATCGGCTTTCCATGGGCGGTTGTGGCTGGACAACGTGGCGTCAGCATTTGTACGCATCGCCCGTCTCCAAACAGAAATAGTGAATAGCCCAGGCAATGCATCACCAGAGAATACGAGATACTCACCAGTCCATCAAGTTCTGCTCGCTTCTTGTAGACCAGATTGACAAAGTACCCAACTCCCGCCGTCAGCAGTGCCAGGACTGCTAATACAATCCGCCACATGGTTTTAGCATCTGCTTGGGAGATTGCGCGTAGAGTTTGTGTTGAGAATCTCCCCGACAGAGCAGAAGATTCAGCATGGATGGATGGATGCAGATGTGCTATGCAAAGCGCAGATATCTGATATGATGATGGCCAGACTTCAAAAAAGCGACCTACTGGCCAGTCGTAAGCAGCGGATTAGGAAACGAGTAAGCCCAGGAACAGGCTAGACCAGGGGAAATCCGAGGCTGACGAGGCTGACGAGACTGCTCTCTCGAGTCGTGTTCTCGGTGCTCCGTAGATGATTCGAGTTATTGACACTCGATGTCTCTGTTAGCTCTTCCTGATCAGACTGTCCAGAGAATGTAATCTTCTGGTCCTCGCAGAAGTCAGTCAAGGCTTATTTACACCGGCCTGAATGTCAGGTCTTGTAGGCACATGGCGTATGCAGGGGTCCAGATGTGCTAGCCAACAGCAGGATTCGCTCGTTGGTGTAAAGTCGACCAAGAATGGTGTTGGATGAAAGCCGGATCGTACGATGAGAGACTCGTGTAAGGCGCCCTATGATGGGGCGAAACCTACCCGTTGCTGGGAATGCGCATGTGGTGAGCCTAATGCCGGTGCTCGAGTGTGTGGTGCCGTGGCTTAATGTTGAGACGAAATCCTTTGGGCTATACGATATATGTCCAATATAAAATAGAAGACTTGAAGAGTTCTGCACACAAGGACATGGATGCTTTTTCCGCAGCTCCCACTTATATACCAACTGAACCTCCATAAACATACATGACCATGTATAATGCAAACACGAAAGAACAAAAACGCCGAAACAGTGTTGAGGAAAGGTTCAAGGTTCAAGAGGCAGCAGGTGGATTTCAGCTTTCATACATCACCCACGCGACAAATAATATGCGATACATAGATATATGCAGAGAAGTAATCTCACAGATAGACAGGGGAAACTCAACATGCTGGATCCTCTCCGATGGCATGCCTGACAAAGCTGATATATAGATGTCAGAAACCAGGATGAGCTTCCTAGTCCTGACCTTTTGAGACCCGTTCGGCAGCAGAAGGTTTCATGCCTTCAAAGCAACGCAATGTACTATTCAGAGGTGTGAGGTTGAGTAACACTCGAAAAATGTGGAATTAAGAACATGCGCCAGTGCTGCGTATCATAAGATCATGAGACGTCGACTTGATGTGTGCCGGAGATAGAAAGATCAGATTGGGGTCGAGGTTAATGGAGATTGACACTTGAATCCAACGAGGGCTGCTTCGGCGCCGAATATAGACGAATCTTGGGTCGGAGGTGCCGCGCTTCGGATATGTATAACGAGATCCTCTGGCATACGACACGGGGAAAGATGCCCCCATTGACTGAGGGAATGCTGGGCGCAATTAAATGTAAGAAAACAGCTTCTCCTCATCGAGTATCCCACGTCTGGGCTGGCATCTCAAAAGGTCGCTCCATCGTCCCCGTCTGTGGTGAGCCCATATTATACCCGAGGGTCGCACCAACATTGGGGTTGGGAGAGGTGGAGCTCACGACAGTTTGAGTCTGTTATTCAAGGGTTAGCAAAGAACCAAAAAATCTCGAGACGGTGAAGACGTACGTCGCTGGCCTGGCTCGATAGCCATTGATTCACACTGGCGGTCGTTCCATTCATTTTCTCAGCTCCACCCAGTTCACTGGGTGCTTCTGTCGGGGACATCGCTGTCCAATGGGAGTATCGATCTGCAGTTGATCCTCCATTCGGGCCTGGGCTGGCGTTGCCCATCATTGGCGTAGTCAACGTGGGCTGGCCGTGTTCAGCTGCAGCTCCTGCGTTATTCTTGCGCCGCCGGCTGCGATAGAAGAGTAGTGCGAGCCCGCCAACAATAAGAATCAGACCAAGAACCCCACCGACGACACCGCCGACTATAGGGCCAATGTTCTTGTTGCCACCGCCGCTATGGGACGCCGATGCCGAGGTAGTCGCCGTGGAAGTGCCTGTACTGACAGAGGTGGTGGATGTCGCCGTAGCCGTCACTGGATCACAGGA